CATATCGCGGGCTTCAAGCCAGAGGGGCGTATAAGCAATAGCCCAACTTTTCAGGAGATACAAAAAACTTAATAACTTTTTTTTCAATGTATCTCTATAACTGAAAATTTGCAGGTGTCTATGAAAATACTTCCTTGATTGCGTGAAATGCTCTTTTTTTTTGTAAGTATTTCAGAACTCGCAATATTGCACGTACTTCTATTTGGCTCGACAATTTTAGGAAAATCTTATGTCATTTCTTCTCAGAAAATGCTTTTATCGGATGGACGTATAATACAAAACTATTGTATGCAATGAAATATTTAAAAAAACATTCGAACTTAGTAGAAGTGTCGTAAAATGTCATTAATAAATATTTTTTCTTAAGTGAAATGCAGTATATCTACCATTTTTGAAGATTATACGGCCAACTGGTTTGTCAAAAATATAAAATAATTTTCGTCCCAAGACAGACGTAAAGACTATTTAAGGTTCATTTCGATGGTAGTGAAATAAAACAGGACACTCAAAATTTGTTTTAAAATATTATTATTTAAAAAGGAACTTGTTTAACACATAAACTTTTAAAAGCAAATAAACACTTAACATAATTAACACTAGTAATTCAATGATAATAATAATTATTTCTTTGGTCCCAATCAGCATTCGCGAATTGCAGAGATCTTCATAATCTTAACTCTTAGTATAGTAAATAGTATAACAATTGAGTATTAAAGAAAAGTAGTTTACTTAAATAGCATAAACTGCTATAAAAAATTCTAAAATGAAAAACAAGAACGACGCATTATTAGCTTAGTGGCATTTAGTAAGTACTTTCCCTTTAGTTACATACAATGCAATTAAAATTTAGAGCAGGTACAAGCAAGCGGCTTAATTTAGCCAACCCTCAGCAAGCAAAGGTAAGAAGTTCAAACATCTAAGTAGGTACCTATCAAATGTACTTATTAATTCGTTTTCCCTGACCGACGTCTTAAATAGGAGGCTCGTGTTGTAAATAATTCCAATTCGTCATCGTCTTGACGAGGCTTAGTCTGAGACAACGATCCTNATTAAAATTTAGAGCAGGTACAAGCAAGCGGCTTAATTTAGCCAACCCTCAGCAAGCAAAGGTAAGAAGTTCAAACATCTAAGTAGGTACCTATCAAATGTACTTATTAATTCGTTTTCCCTGACCGACGTCTTAAATAGGAGGCTCGTGTTGTAAATAATTCCAATTCGTCATCGTCTTGACGAGGCTTAGTCTGAGACAACGATCCTAAAACAGACTGAACAGGTAGATTTTTGTAGTAGTAGTGATGATTCTTGGGTATCGTCCCATCCTGACACAGTGCCATCAGATCTGTGTGTTTTACTTTTTTTATTAAAATTTGTTCAGGGTACACTTTTGCAATACGCGAATTATGTTCCGATCTTGTCACTTTCTCCTTTAATTTTACCTCTTTGAATTCTTCCCAGTAATTAAATTTAAAAAAAAACGAACGTGGAATGTCTTTGTTAAATCGTAACCATCTTACGTTAGCCCATTTCAAAACAGTTCCATCGATGGCTTTCATTGTATTTGTATCACATATAAATAATAGTACTTCGCAGTGCTTTGAAATCCAAAAAATCTGTGTGTTCCATAACTTTAACTTTATATGGGTTGTCTTTACGGGCTAGTCGTATGACATTTTGCCAGTCATCAGGGGTATAGATTTTCGCATACTCAGAAGCTCGTTCAATTGTCGAGTGCATATTGTCGCACTCCATGTAGGTGTGTCCGGGTTCAAGAAATTTATAATCAATAACTCTAATATCATTATCAGGTGATGTAATGATATAATTGAACATAGCTACAAGCACAGAATTTCTATTCTGCCCTGGACAGCAGTCAGAATATAATATTAGGTGATGTACGTTGGAGAGATTTGAGATGTAACTATAGAGACATGTTGATACTTCGTTTGATCCGCGGTTGCCTTCATATTCCGGCCAAAAATAACAATATCCTTGTTTAGTCACTGCATTGTGAATAGTGAAATTCATGCTACCTAACTTCCGTTTATAAAATACAGGCTTTCCTAAAACTAAAGGACAATATAGCACTGCTTGAAAATCAAAAGTACAAACATGCAAGCGACTATCTTCTATTGCTTTAATTTTATCCGATTTTTTTTCTTCTTGTGCATAGTATTTTCTGTTAACATGCTCTTCGTATTCTTCTTGTTTCTCCTTTTGTTCTTCTTCAGTTAATTGCTCATATTTGTTACACCAACACTGGTCCTTTCTTGGTTTGTGGAAACTAATATTCTTCTCTAAAATGAGTTCTTTATACGAAGTTTTTCCAATGGGTTTCTCTTGATTCTCCAAACAATGCTGCTTATATAATTCATACATTTTTTCTTTGTTAAGAATAGTTTCTAAGTAAATCTTTTTTGTATCTTTACGGCACCAATGAGAAGGCACTTTTGGAAATGAATCTATGTGATCATTAGCGAACTTCATGCTGTGTTCGTCAAATTTATTGGACGGTGTGTGACGGCCTCTTTTGTCAGGAGAAGGAATATTACCTACTCCTCGGCGCGCTTTCTTTAAAGCAGTACGGACCATCTTGTCACTGATATCTAGTGTGCGAAGAAAAAAAGGTTGGCATACGTTTATCGTCTGCGAATTAACCATGAAACTGTAATTCAATGTAAATTTCCTTCTCGAATTGGTCACTCGTGATACTGTTGCTTCAGTTGAAAGCACGTTAGATACTATAAAATCCCTTTGTCTTTCAATACTACCCAAACTCCAAAATGACAAATGAATTTTTTGTCTTTTAATATTATCAATTTTTGTATGACAAGCTCGTTGACACTTGCAATTTTCAGTGCTACACATTTTTGACGGTACATTCTTTCCTTGACTTGATATATACGTTGCACCGCTATTTTTCTTCATTTTTCTAATGTTTTTCTTCCAATTTTCCGGTATTTTTCTTTTGCATCTTTTCACTTTTTGACCATCAAGTTTACTTTCAAGTATGGACGATTTTTCTACTTCTTGTGTATTAATAATGCCGCCTGGTCGTACAATTTGAACCAAAGATGAAGTCATAACGGGTGACTTTGGAGCATTGATTTTCTTCTTCTTCAGGTTGCTAATTAGGGTCTACTACAGAGTCATCGCTGTCATCAACGGAAGTTAGTAGATTCTCGGTTAGTGGGTTCCCAGAAGTTTCTGTAATGCTAGGGCTTTCTGTTGAGTGTATGGATGCTATTGGTGTAAAAATCGGTGTAAGTGGTTTTTCAAGTGATGGAACAGATGTTTTTAGTAGTTCGAAATCCTTATGGTAGTTCTTTAGTAGTTCGATTATTTATTGGAATATATTGGAATAATATTATCATACTCATCACCGATAAAGCCTAAATTTTCCATTTCGGCTATTGTCACTCGTTGTTCTGTTGTAAGTGGCGATTCTCTTTGTACCTCTGTATGTGAAACAGTCGTTGGTGATCCCATACGTGACGAATGCTCGGAATGCAAAATCTCTATTTGCTCTTCAACCGACATTAGTGAGTCGTCATGATTTGATTGAGTTCCTAGAAAAAACTAAACTTGTTAAAATAAATTAAACTGATAATTCCTTACAAGTCATGTGTAATAATTATTTACACAAAACATTATATTTTATTTTTTTATATATTAATTGCTCATTTTATATATTAACAGCTCAACGGTTCTGCCTCAGTTTCATACCTAAAGCACAACAATTAGCATCCACAATATCATACCAACTCACTTGTTATCACAATTATTATTAAAATAATACTCACCATATAGCGCTAAGCGAAGAATATTTTTGCTCCGATTCATTGTTGTGTCCGATTTCTATGATCACTATGTTCACCGATCACTATGTTCCGCCCGTCCACTCTATACGGCCAACTATTGAATACTGCGAGTGCGCGGGTGGAGGGAGAGCGGCGCGAAATTAGTGGTCGTATGCGCATACGACTTTTTGGCATGACATTTTATTGGTAATAAAAACAAATTCGAAAGTCGTATGTACATACGTCAATATGGCACGACATTATATTGCTAAGTCATATAAAAATCGATAATCGTAGGTACGTACATCTTTGTGGTTCGATACACAATTCGTCATTCGTGGTTACGTCCACGGTACGTCTTTCTGGCATGAAAATAATATCTGACTTCAGTTATACGNTTGGCATGACATTTTATTGGTAATAAAAACAAATTCGAAAGTCGTATGTACATACGTCAATATGGCACGACATTATATTGCTAAGTCATATAAAAATCGATAATCGTAGGTACGTACATCTTTGTGGTTCGATACACAATTCGTCATTCGTGGTTACGTCCACGGTACGTCTTTCTGGCATGAAAATAATATCTGACTTCAGTTATACGTCTAAAAGTATTTTACTAATATCTTCCAAAGTAATTTACCTACTATTTTTAAAAAAAACAGAGGTGGTGTATCGATAAACATATAAATGATTGACGTAATAATAAAAAAACGCATTTTTTTTATACACCCCTCTGGCTTGAAGCCCGCGATAT